ATTTGTAAATACATAGGTATTGAGTTATATGTATGTAAATCTTCCATTTTTTTTAAAGCAAAGCCATTCCAAACTGAGCTGATTATATGAACAATTAACTTCATTGTAACAACTAACAAATCAAACCTCAGGGACCAGCACAAAATTTCACAAAACCAACCTTCCACCAACTTCTCCTCCCTCAAAACATCTTACAAATCTAACAGCAGCTTCAGTCCTTTTCATTCAACAAAACATATCTGCTCTTACAACCTCCTCCCATCTCACCAAAACCAAAACACAACATTGCAACAAAAGAGAGATGAAAAACAAGGATTCATCCAGACACTTCATCCCGACCTCATTCTCTTATAATATGAACATGCACAATGTAGGCGTCTGCTTGCTCCGATTTGATCTCGAAGATGCATTTGTCACCCGCCGACAAGTGGTTTCGCAGGCAGAACTCATGCCAGCCCATGCTGAAACAGCATTGGATAATCGGTCGCCGCTTCTTGATCGTAATTCTCACCAGCGATGAACGACCCTTGGGATCGATCAAGATCACCCTGCTCTTTCTCTCTAGTTTGTGTGATGTTAGGAATCTAAATGGAATATTCTGCGGTCAACAACTTTTGTAGTTCAGAAATTGACAACAGGTTTCATTTCTTGAGAAATTCACATACATACCACACTTTCTTATTCATTTACTTATCTACACCTAAAGTTTGATATTTACATTTTTAATACTTTTAGTGTTATAACCCTATGAAAGAAAAGGTGCATTTAACTTCTAAGAGTGGGGTCTTTTTTATGTTGTGTTAAAGCATTGAGTGTTATGCATGTAAATAGTCAAGTACTGTGTAATAATATAAGAATTGTGTGGTTTATATGCAAATGTCCCATCTTTTTTATTGTTCAGTAACACAATGCAAACATCTATCTGTTACAGTTATTATTTCTAAAACATTGAGCACTTGAAGCAGACTCACCAGATATGGTCTGGACCTGAGGTTGCAGAACTTTAAGGTGATGCAGAAATGTGGCCCAAGGGATTTGCAGAACTGCTTGAACAGTTTCTCTGCCGTTTTTGATGCTTTGGATTCTTCTTGCTTGTTTAAAGGTGATGAAGCTTCAAGCATTTTTCCATAACTGCTACAAAAGAGGGATATACCACTCAGCAGATTAGCATATTACATGATTAAACTGTGCTTAAAAATTAATTTGGGTATTTTACATTCACACCACCCAGTTCCTTTGTATTTACATGTCTTAAACCCTATACTTTACTGTTTTTACATTAATATCACCCAAATCTTTCAAATCACAGAAATTAACACCATTTTGGTGAAATACACGTTTTCATGGATAGGTAAAGATGATATGTTTGTAAAAATTAAATTTTTAGTTGTTAGATCAGTAAATAAGCAGGAATTGAGTGGTATGTAGCCTTTTCTTGTCTTCAAGTTTGTTGGGAGATAAGTGCCAAAATGGTCCCTTGGAACTCTTTTTTCAAACCTGAAGACAAATTTCATATTTTTATGAACTCTTGAGATCAAAACGCCACTATATATGCTTTACAATCATTGGGTTTTCAGTTTGCACCCCAAATATTGAGAAAAATGTCCTTTTTTTTT